CGCTTACAAGCTGTGGCCGAAAAACCACTTGTTGCTTAAGTTTTGCACACCAGTGTATATAGATATTAGTGAAACTTAAATTGTGTTTTTTAGTTTTTAATTGCTGAAATTGCGTTTAATTAGCGTTATTTAGTCTTACTAACGATGATTGTTTTCTTTCTTACAAAAGCAGTATCGAACACATTAGATATCTTGTTGCATTCTGCAAGTCAGCTTTTGTGCTAGTGGCCAAACCAAACAAACATTATATCCGGAATAATATTTTGCAAGTTGTCCAAAAAAAATTCTTTTGTCGCTGATTTAATGAATATCAGAAGTAATTGCTTAATTACATAATAATCTAATTTTTTCCTTCTAGATCGATGAATACACAACAAATGTCTCGAAATATTAGTAATTGCTTGAAAAAATTATTGTAATTATCCTCTTACTCCAGATTCACAAGCATTCATATTTTTAAACATTTCACTGACTTATATTAAAAATACATTTTATTAAAAAAAAACTAGATTAATCATAAATTATCCATTCAAAATCCTTATTCGAGGAAAAAGATATTTTTGACTCACTGAGCCAACTTTACTGGAGCTTTTCGTTTTTCCAATACTAACTTGTCATCTTATAATCATAATAACTATGCTTAAGTAAGCTCCATGACAGCAGTCGCTGCAGGTTATGCATTTGCTGATTATTTTCCATTTTAGATTTTTTTTAAAAAAGAAAAAAAAAACATCAAACGGATAAAAGTTTGCTTACAGAAAAAACTGAGATCAAGTAAAAATTAAGAAGAAGATAAAAATAAAATATTTTTATGTATTCCTTATTAAAAATTAAAAATAGTTTTTTTTTAAAAAAAGAAAAAAAATCAGTATTGAAAAAAGATACTTAAGGCTCATTTTTCTGGTTATTATTTTATTTGTCTGTAAATTACCTGTGATGATGGTTTGATAATGAATTTAATTTGAAGAAACTTTAAATATACACCAATCAAGGCACCAGAAATTACAATTCGACTAATTTTTTCTTTAAAAATAAAATAATTTTACTTTAATATCATTAGCAGAAAGTTTGACCTTTCTTCCTGACTTCTTGATTGGGCTTAGTATAAGCATATATTTTTTTCTAATTATTTTTCAAAAAACTAAATTTTAATTAAAGCGGTTAATGTTAAAAAGGGATATGTTACAAATTTGCGCTTTCGAGAACACTGTTCAAAGATTGTTTAAATTGCTTCCAAATTGTTGAATTATCTTCTATAGGCAGTCTAGAAAATTACTCGGTATTTGATAATATTTGATAACCGGGGGTATATATTCCAAAAACAACAAAAAACCTTATTTTTGTGAAAACGTTACAAACCCCTCTTTTTCACACTGACCGTTTCAATTATAAAAAAGTAAATTAAATTTAAACAGAAGCAACACAAATTCTCCGTGCCTTGTTCTTTATACATGATTATGTTTAATATTTATATATTGTGCTAAATATAGGTTATATTAATCATAATGCTTACTATAATAATATCTTCCTGACTTTATTGAAGTCGCAGCAGACAAATATAAATTTTTGAAGATAGCACTGCAGATTAATTTTTTAAAAACTCTTAACAGGAGTTTGCTTTGACTAGAAGATACTATTTACATTAAGGTGTATAAAATTATTAAATTTCCTGATTAGACACCAAAATCTAGATACTAATGTTTAAAACAAGTGGCTTAATGAAAGCAACGTTCCTAACTAATTATAACGTATAAATATTTACCGAGGTAATAAAAAAATTACAATTTGTTCAGTAAATATATTTTTCCGCATTTCATGAATTACGCAAATTCATGGATGGCGTCAATCAAAACTAGAGTAAAACTACTGAAAGTCTTCTTTTTTGATGTGCCTGAGTTTTCAAAATTTAATTGTAACAAAGTTTCAGAAATATTTCTTATCAAAATAATTAAGCACACACATTTTCAATGACGGGATAACCATTAAAATGTGAAAGGAAATGACACAAATTCTTCTATTATATTCCAAACTTATTCCTCACATATGCTAATTAGATTGTCACCTGGTGTTTTAGCCTCTTCAGTGACGGGTGTTCCAGGGGGGAGATCCAAAATCATTCCTTTCGAAGGGTTGTTGTGGAGTTTGAGAAGAGGAACAACATGCTGATTGGCTACTTGAAGTACCACTTGGGAAAGGTTGAGTGATGCAGCTACATTAACAATACTCTGATGAATACCCAATAAACCAACTCTGAGTCCTGTACTTGTGTTCCAAATTCCTAAAGTGTTGTCGTCTGATGCTGGAAGAGATGGAGTCAGAAATGAAGTGCTTTATAAACATGGAATTATTTCTCGTCTGGGAATTTATGTATTTCGTATATTTGTGAAAAATGTCTTCAAATTTATTTCGAAAAAATCGATTGCTGGATAATTTATTAAAATATTAAAGTTTTAGTAATTGAAAATTTAGAAAATATATAGATGATTTTAGGTCGAGTAAAACGTTTATTCTGAAATGAAATTGAGCTAAAAGTGATGCATGAAAGCATGTAAATTAAATTGAGACTTGAATCTTAAAAATTTAAAAAAAGAAGAATTTTCTCATAGAAAAAATGCATTTAATTTGTTTTGAAATGGCAGATGCATATATTATTGAGAATCGAGTTTATAGTTCGAAAATTACCTAATTGTACCTTCTTCAAACAAATAAATGGTACAATAATAGCACCTCCTCCAAAATAAATAAATAATTTAATAAAATAAGTGATACAATTATAGTAACTCCTCCAAACGCATAAATGGTTCAATAATAGAGCCTTCACCAAGCAAATGAATCGTACAATAATAGTACTTCCACCAAACAAATAATTGGTACAATTATAACACCTCCCCCACCTGAAAACATAATATGCAATAATAATAGGTAATAACAACATTAAATAAAATACCTAAATATATTTCCCGCAAATAAGTTACTTTATAATTTTTAAATAGTTATTAATTGTGAGAAGTGAAAAAGTGAATTAATAATGTAATTTATGTTATGTAGGTTGCATTTTTAAAAAAAATTAATTTAAGATAAATTTTATATTGTTTTAAATTTTAAGTAATTCCTTTCAGTTTAAAGTTTTATAATAAATTTTTTAAGACGGAATATAAAATACGCTTTGAGCTAATTTAGGCTGGGTATTTAAGTCTTCGTTTTTTTAATATTTTTTAAAAGAAATTTAAGAATTAAAGGTCAAGAAAAAAAAAGAGATTTTAGCTCGCGGCAAACTCCCCCTCCTCTAAATAAATGATAAAACTAGTCCATGGCACCTCGGCGCCTTTTAGATGGAATAGAAACAGAAGGTTAACACTTTCACTAACTTAACAACAGTCTCAAAAATCAGTGAAACATGTGAGAAACTTCTGGAAAAGGGCATAGCTCTCCCACGAAGCTTGTGAGCCATTGATAAGAAAATATGGGTTAAAAAAAGGAGGCAGATATCGTTATAATGCCAAATAAAGTAGTGCTTGTGATCTACTTTTTTTAAGATGAGTAGGACATTTACTTTTCTTCTTTTTAAGTTTGGGTTCTCCATTTCTAATGTCTTGTATATTTTAGAAAGAATAGTAGCATTTAGTTTAGTAGTATTCTTCAAACCTGCCAGTTAGTTACTTAAAGTTACTTTAGACTGAACTTAATATCTTTAAGTTTACATGGTATACTAGTTACCTTTACTATATAACTTTTAAAAAAGAAAATGATAATTTTAAAGTTAATCAATCTGAAAATTTATGCAGAAAATAATTTATGTTATAACCAGCTTCAGCAGTCTTCAATATATATTCATATTAGAAAAGATCTACCAATAAAATGAAAAGGTAACTGCATTATAGAGCAAAATTCTGAATAAAATAATACACTTTATTTGCATTACATCGCTTACAATTGATAGCTTGATATTGCCTAGAGCATTTTCCTTTCATTTTTTTAATGTTTGGGTTCCCTATTTCTACATATTATATAGTTTTAAAGAATAGTATTATTTAGTTTAGTTGTAGTCTTGGAGCTGTTTTAGACTGAATTTAAAATTTTTAATCTTATATAACGTTCTGGTTGCGTTCAATATTAAATAATTTCTTTAAAGAAAATGCTTATTTTAAGGCTAACAAACTTGATAAATTACTCAGTAATTTTAAGCATTTACTCAGTAAATATTTTAAGGATTTTTCAATACAAATGCATATTAGAAAAACCAGCTTATGAAATAAAAAAAAGTAACTTCATTCTAAAGCAAATTTCTTCTGAATAAAATAACACATTTTATTTAAATGTTACTGCTCATATACGTATAAATATCAATCATAACTTTTAAAAATATGACATGCATGACTTATTTCAGTTATGCACACTATATTTTTAAGAGTTCCATTATTTCTCAGATTTTAAGTATCTAATTTTGCAAGAAATTTAAATTTGAAAAGTTGTTAGTATCTAAATAGCTTTTTAACTTTTTAGTTACTAATTTGCCAGTTATTCAAATTTGAAAGCTAATTAAGATTTTTAATCTATGCATATAGAAATTAAGTATAAATGGTTTTTTATTTATTTAACTATTTCAATTCGAATTGGAAAGTAAGGTACTTAATTAGGCCATTTCCAAGAAAAACAATATGATAAGGATTAAAAATTACATTTTGTATAAAGTGCTTAAATGTGTAAAAAAGCTGCCTTTCGTAATTCGTAATATGAATTAACTATTCCAGTTATTTAAAAATAAGTACAAATTTAATTAATTTACTATTATCAACTACTATTAAGTTTGTGATTTTATTTACTTTCAATTGAATAATGCGTAGTATTTGCTTTTGAATTAATATCGTAATATAGTCCTATTTTTCTAATACAATAATTTCTAATAAAAAGAAGTAAACTCTTTATGCAATTAATTAAATACTATAATTATTATTTTTTTCACTGTTAAGTAAGATTCAAAAAAGTCAATTTACAAAATGACAATTTTTATGAATGTTTTGATAGATATATTTGTCAAATTCTATATCGAATTTCTGTTTATTCAGTTTTTTCTAAAGTTTAAAATCAGAATCGACTAACAAATTTGCCTTTTTCTCTTTTAGTAACTGCCAGAAATACATTTCTCTACCTTAAAAGATAATTTAAAAACTGTGTCTTTTTTTTTAATTTATTTATATGATCATGAATAAGGATTTTTATTTACAGCGTTAAAAAATTTCACAATATGAATCTATTCCTTGGCTTTTATATTTTTGTTAGATAAAATTTTTTTCAATATTTTTTTGCCGATTATTTTACAAAAAGGATCAAAATAATTTTAAATTCTTACGAAAAAACTAACTCATAAAATATTAAATTGGCTTCACTCAAAATGATAAAATTTCTAAAATCAGATTCAAAAAATTTCGAAAAAAACAATATATGTAATATTACAAATGCAAACTTAATATTAATCGGGTACCTTTGAAAAATCACGTTAACATTTTGAATAAGGATAGAAAATTTACAAATAAATAAAAAACATTTAAATTAAAAAAAATCAATTTGACTTAATATAATACTTAGTACTTTGAAGGTAAAAATATGCGCCAAAACTTTTGCGAATTTGAACTAAGTAGTACTTTCAAATAGTTCCAAGATACATAATAATAAGATACAATTATTATTTTTAAGGAAAGTCGGTAGGGCATATATCAATAATGCTAAAACTGACATTTTTCGATGTACCTTTTTTAAGAAACTACTTATGATATAGCTCTGAAATTTTATGTGGATATTAGAGATTACACCAGTTCTATGCTTGATAATGTTTCAACATTAACAAAAATACGTTTTTAGTTATGAAAAATCTTTGATGAAACTTTTTAAAAAATTTAAAATTCTCAATTCATAATCTTAAAAGAAAATTTCTTCCAGACATATGTATTAACATTTACAGTGTAGATATGTATAGGTAAATATTCTGTGAAAATGAAAAAAATGAAGTAATATCTTGTTTAAATGGTACATCGAAAGGCACAAAGGTGAAAAGGTACATTGAAAAAGGTCAGTTTTAGCTTTATTGGTATCTGCACTATCGTCTCCCCTTAAATATCTTAGAATAATATTCTTAAAAGGAAACTTTTGATGAGAAAAATTAAATAAATTTATATTATTTGAATGAAAGCTTGCATTGATATACATATAAGAAAGCTCTTTAAATGTTTCCCTCAATTTATATATATTTGATAACGGATTTGAAAGCAGAATTTATTTAGATAAAGTTTTAGATCTAATTTGCTCTGCTTAAATAAATCAACTTATCGTAGGTTCAAGCTTAGTTACGGTGGCCACTCGCGATGGTCTATTAATAATATTATCAGGTAGTTATCTTCTACTACCTTCCATTTACATTAATTGGATTTGCCCAAACATAATTAGAGAATCTCCATGCATTTCAAAGGTTATCTTCAGCCATTTGATAGTGGAACCTGAATCCAATTAAAGACTTATGGTGTAAATAAAGTTGATAATGATTAACTCTATCACGGTTAAATATCTTCTTAATCTTTGCTCGACGTGGATGAGCCTAGGATTTAATAGGATTTAAATATGCAGTATATCTCTTTATTACCGCCTTTAATATGTACTTTCACAGTTCTTGTTGAAAATAAAAACAATGGAATTTGCATATCCGGGGTCACAAATTAATAAAGTGAAGGAGTCTGACAAATCACAATCCAGTAACACGTATATCAGTTATACAAAAAAGAAATAATTTTAATTGTGAGAGGCTGTTTTAATCTATTTTCAACCTGTACAGGTTTCGTTGTTTAGCTAACCTGCCTTCCTAATTTTTTTTCTTTACATTTAATTAGAAAATTTGGCACATTGAAGATTTTCGTCAAAACTTGAGGTATGCTTAGTCGATATTTTATATCTCTGTTTGGATACAACGATGAGTGGCCGGTACAGTGAGGGTATTTCCCATATGTTTGAGAAAATTGTCCTCTTTTTACAAAAATGAACTGTGGATGAATTATTTTTGCTCTAATAGTGGTCTAAAATAATATCTAATAGGGCACTGATCAATTCTGACTATGTTCTAATCAATTCTAATAGTGTCCTAATTAGTTCTAATCAGTTCTAATAACGTTCTAGTCAATTCTAATATTGTTTTTCTCCTTAACCCCGGCGCCTAGTGGGACGCATGTCTTTGCCCTCTAATTGTCGAAATAGTTAAATTTTTATTTAATTTTAGTGGAATATTGTTTTTTTAATACTTATTTTATCTATTAAAGTTATAATTTTGTCTTATTTCTGATAAAAAAAACTAGTCTTGAAGGGATAAATAATGTCTTTTCTAAATTTCAATGTTAACTTTTAACGCAAAATTTTCGAAATATTTAACAAAAGTAAACATACCTGATATTGCCAATGAGCCATCCAACGTAAGTTTTACACCAGTAACCGTCTCTGTGTGCCCACGTAGGGTAAAGTTTACTTCTCCAAGTGTTACATCCCATACGATTAGGTTGCAATCAACAGAACCAGACACAACAAGTGAAGGATTGAGGGGCGCAAATGTAGCACAGGTAACGGCATCCTGGTGACCTACCAACACCTGCAAACGAAATTAAGCTGCTTTTGTTATCCATTCGGAAGGCAGAAAATGCGTAGCAAATTGCCATCATTTGAGGTTGCTTAAACAATTTTTCAGTATAAAAGCTTTGCCAATTCAAGAATATTTATTTCAGAGATTAACTAATTGTTGTTAAAGCTTTGTCTACACATACACTTCAAGTTGAGATGAAAATTAAATTATGTTTTTGTTAAATTTAAAAAAAAACCCAATAAATATGGAAAATTAAATGTAATACGGTGTTTTATGTTAATCTCAATATCAGGTAACTGAAGCTGAGCTTGCAGAAATAGAATTAGTCAGAAGAGTAGTTCAAAGTTTGAACCCCTTAATGTTAATTTTACGTTTTGTGTTTTTCGCAATATCTCGAGAATTTTTCAGAGAACTGAACAATTTTTGTAGACAATTATAAAATTTGTTTATCGAAATATAATTTCATGCAGCATATAACTTTCAGTATGCATTTATTATTTTTTTATTATTTTATTTAATATTAGTCGAAAAATATTAATTGTAGTGCATGCAGTTTTTTACGTAATTTTAAATAATGTAATTTTACACGGTAAATTAAAAAATTTGAGTAATCGCAGTGAAGTAGTTCCTTAGAAATCGAATTTTAGCTATACGAGTTTTTTAAAATTTGATTTGTATTTGATTCAAAAAGTTCTGACTCACCTGCGTCAGTTTCCCAGTTCCTACTTCAAACACTTTCAGGGACTTGTCATGTGAACCAGTGACGATGCTTTGGCAATCATAGCTGACAGAAAAAAAGTTGATGACTTCAGTATTGCCCACTGTGATCATTCTCTCAGACTCCATGTCTAGTACAGACCAGTACCTCACACTGTAAAAAAATTTCAATCCAAATTAAAATCAATTTGTTAACTTAACTTCCTTCTTTATTCTTACATTTGAAATTCATATTTATTTTTAGACAATATACCAAAATTTGTGCAAGGCTTTAAATAGAAAATATAGATATTTTTTCAATTATATATACATATTTATTGAAACATTAAGTACATAGTATTGGGTTAGGTATGAAATAGAACATTAAGTAAATGATGGTTTTTCTGGCACATACGCACTCAATTGTTAAAAATTTTCATTTCCACTTTGCAAAATTTCGTTGATGCAGCATTGAATCTCCTCTTCCAATTAACTGATAAATGTGGACTTGTTGACATACAACTTTAACTTCAATTTACTCTATAGAATGAGATCCAATGGTGTTAAATCACATGATCAAGAGCGGGGGAGTCTGATCCCCAAAACATGAGTGTGCACGACTAGGAATTTCCCTGTTTCACGAGATTTCAACAATGGAAACGAGTTGTTCTGAATTGTAGAGCAGCATTTTTACGAACCATAAACTTTCAGCTGCTTAACTTTCTTTTTATGTTTGCAGCACCGAGTAATTAAATTTCTATTTAAGTTTTGCGTAAATTTTGGGCCACCCCTTAGAAAGCAGTTACTCTCCTACATTGTCTCCGGCATTTTTTATTTTTTGTTTTATCTGTGTAGAATCAGAAATAATTTTAAGATGGTATGCTTGATAGATTGTATGGGAAGAATTCAGCAATTTCGTTCATTTATTGATTAAGAATATTAATGCACTGCACGGATTAATAGATATGCAAGGTATTTCATAGAACTAATCAGTATTGAAGCCTATTAGGTATACGGTAGGATTTTAAATCTTGAAAAACTTATTTATTTGAGGACGAAGCAGAAACGAGGCTCATGAGTAAAGAAAACTGTATACCAGCCCTCCTGACATATAAACGGGTTTTCGATTAATTATTTTAAGCTTGTATTTGTTCCAAACGGTATAGTTTGAAAACTTCCTTCCCCCTTAAAGATACACTTGGAATGTTCAAAGGTTTTATTTTTGAAACTGAGTATTTTTAATTCCTCAAGAATTTAAAAAAAAAAAAATTCAATTGACTAGTGAGCCTTATCCCCTCCTTGCTCTTGCTCTCCAATCCCAGAAGATTACTAGGTAATCTTATACAGTTTGTCTTGCAAAACATGCACGTTTCACATTTAAATCAATAATTAAAATCTTTAAAACTAATTCTTATTTTTAAAAAAAATAAAATTTTAAGTCGATAATAAGTTAATAAGATGAAACATTTAAATTTAAATAAATGGCAAGCAAGGGAAAAACTTCAAGAAACAAAACAATAATTATGCTTGTTAAAAACAAAATGTTTAACGACGCTTCTTCTAAGCATTCTTTCGATGTTGCGTCTTTTATGAGAGCCATCAATGCTGTTTAGAAAGCGAAGTTCGAGAGAATAGTTGTTATTCTATAATTATTTCTAGTTTCAGATTAAACTCACCAGTTATCATTTTTGGTAGACATTGCAAAGACAATATTGGCGTGAACAGAAATATTCTGTGATGATTTCGAACAAAGGATTAGTTGAGTGCCATTATCAGCTTGCCAAAGACGATGGTGATTCTGAGAATCGACAGAAAGTATCCTACGACTATCAGATGTTACTGCAACTGCAATTATTTTGCTCTGGTGCTCCTAAAAAATAAAATTTTGTTATTTTATACCACAGAAAAACCGATCCCCAAAATTTAGAAGTGAAGAATACTTTTATTGAAAGTACTTTGAAAAGTTTTTGATTTACTTTCTCTAAAAAAATACACAAAATAAAATTTATCTTACTCAAATTTCACTTTTAGAGACTCTCATCTGCACTTTTTTTCCTTTTGTTGAAAGAATAAACAGCGAAAAATTTCAATTATTTTTACTCCGATTCTTTTAATTTGAATCAACAAAATAGCCAAATGAGACTTATAATAAGCTAATTATATGTATTAAAATTGCTACTCAGTTGATCCCGTCTAAAAGTTGGTCAAGTTTTGAATTATAAGTTATTATAAATTTGCAAGTGCTTATAAGATTTATGCAGACAAGGCCAATATCGTTAAAATTGTAGGAAACCCAAAGTTTCATAAATTTTCATGCTATTTAATCATGACATACTAATTTTCAATGTCAATGGTGCAAAGGGTTGTAATTTGTAAAATATGGTCCTAATAGCTCAATCAAGATATCAATAATTTTAATTTTATTGCTTATTTTGCTATATCTTAAAAACTTTTAAATGAATGGGAACGTTTACCAAGATTTGTCATTGCCATGGCCATTATATTGAAATTCTTAACTCATCCGGGAATGTGATGGTTAGATGGTGCTTAACTGTGATGGTTAGAGTATCTTAGTACCAACCCGGAGCTTCTTGGTTGGAATCCTGCTAGCAGCCAAGGAAAAATCCCCCTCACACATTTCTCTCTCCGCATCATGTTTGGCCCAATTGCTTTTAATCAAAAATGATTGTACGCTGATTATTTTTGGAATGCGTGGGTTTTCTAATTCGATTATTTGTTTCTGAGTTATTTCGTCATAATTTTTTTATAGTGTAATTAATGTCTTATGTCTACTTTCTGGGCATTTTCTTGAATTTTCTTTTCTCTGTAACGTTTACAATATCATCAAAATCTCATACAACAGATAAAAAAAATTTGTTTCCCGGCATAATTCATAATATGGTAGGAAATCCAAGAATAAAACAAAAATTATTTAGCACTTTAATTTGGAAATTTGTTAATAATCAAATAACCTTTCAACTATGTAAGAAAACAACGTAGTACTTATCCTAATCTAAAATGTCAAATGCTAAAAGAAATAATTTCAATAAAAAAGGAAATTAATATAATTATTTTTTTGTATCATATTTCATATACAAAAGCTTAGCTATGCTTTAATTTAACAAATTATATGCTTATTAATTGAAATGTCTGCTAATTAGTATTACCTATTAGTAGAAAATTGAAGCATTAAATCAAATCTCTGATGGGCCAAATTTCTCTTAGGCTCTATTAAATTCGAGCTTAATCTGCCCTATTAGATTAGATACGGCCCTACTAGGTGACGAATTTAAAACTTTGCTTGTAAATTTATTAAATAACTTTTAAAGAGTAGTACCTGAAAAGTAGAAACAATGAGACTTAAGGTAAGTCCCCACACTTTAAGAGTGGCGTCTTCTGAGCCTGAAACTGCAAATAGACCATTTGGTGAGAATGCAACACATGTTATAGTTCCGGTATGACCTTTCAAACTAGCATGCAGATCTCCTGAGTTTAACTGCCACACTTTAACAATACGGTCTTTTGAACCTGAAAGTGAAAAAAAAAGATTTAATGAAGTATATCTGCTACGGTTAAAGTAATAAATACGGTTATTATTAATACTAACCGGTCAATATAAATATTAATCGTTTTTTTTTTGTCAAAGAGAGAAACATCGATAATTATTCACTTTTACCGGTTATTATTAATAACCAATGAAGTTTGGTCAATATTATTTAACGGTCCATATAATATTGGGACATAGGTGTGCCTCTTTGTATATGTGTTACGGTTGAAGTGATAAATACGGTTGTTATTATTAATATTAACCAGACCGTCAAAATTAATAATAGCAGCTTCTTTTGGTGACAGTCAGAAATAAAAAAGGGGATTTCCGTATCGTGATTGGCAGAATAATCGCCACGACTTGGCAACTTCCAGACAGTTCGCAGCAAGTAACTAAGAAAAAAAAAACGGAAAGAGATCAAATTAAGTGGTATAACTCGTAACCACCTCTGGATGAACGTCTACATGTTTTTTTTATCTATTTCAAATCAACTTCATGGCAACTTTACGTTTGATATTTCAAATTACTTTTGTTTTTTCGCCTTCACGTCAGACAAGTCTTGAAAATTGGTGCCTATTTTTGAGCGCTTGAAACATATGGAGTTTTATTTCTAATCTGTATAATTTTGAAGGTACTGGAGTGTTATACAATAGTAATGTGTACGTTAAACCATGAATCATCTTAAGAAGTAGCGGCGGTTTAAAGCTCAGCCAAGTTTAGATTAACTTGTCTGGGTAAATGAAGCCAATTCTAACCACAATGTCACAATCATGCCGTTGTTCATGAGATTGTAAAGTCTTAACTTCAATAGCCTCTTGGCTCTTAATAAGCTGTGACGGGACTTTTTTACTTTACTGTTCAACTTAAATAGACAAACGGTTGAACCTAACATCTTGTTCAGATTAGAGCAAATTTGCGTGTCATTATTATTCACCGAGGAATAGATTTTCTTTGTGTATTCGTAACACTAACAAAATTTCAGAAATATACAACATAACTATCTTTACAGATCAAATCTTATTATCTTCATCAGCTACAGTGGATACAAGTTGCTTATTGACGAAAATTAATTAGTTCAAAATGAAATGAAATTTATATTCCAGTAACGCATAAAATATTCGCTATAAGAGTCAACATGATAGATTTATTTGCTGCTGATTATTATTCATGCGAAAAAGAATATGCCATTCAATTGTAGCTAAATATTTAAACGAGACAAAATATAATTTTCGATATATTCTATAATTAAACTTTTGAAACTAAGGAGACTAAAAAAATAAGTTTACAAACGCGTTTACCTTAATAAATTTTTGATTTTAAATGAAAAAATAAAGTGCATCCTATTCCAAAGGGCACTTCATTTTACTCAAAGATGCGTTTTCTTTAAACTATTTGTTATTTCTCATTATCATTCGTTACGTTGTCACCTTTAAAAACAAACTAAAATTTAGATCCTTTACAACTCTCTAAGAAAATCATAAATGAAAAATAGTATATTTCTCGCCAAGACGATAATCACATCTCCCTCTTATACATTCTCAGTAAAGTTGAATTATAAAAAATTCTGAAGCATACGAATTATTATTTTCCATACTAAAGGCGTTGCATACTAGTGGATGAATCTTATTAATGTGTTGAAGGCGAAAGCGAGAGCAATTAATTTCTAGAGAATGCTTGTAACTTTTCAATCCAACTTCTGCTTCCCTTGTCATTGATCTTGTGGTGCAACCACCAGAACATCCTTTTCCGTGTCGTTTGAACCGGAAGGAAGACCCTACAGTCTTATTTCGAATCTTCACATTTTCTTCGGTAATGACTTCTTTTCATGGAAGTTTTGGCCCTATTGAATCGTATAAAGTTGTTCAAAGTTTGGATTTACTGCTACGTATGATCGAAAGAAAGAAATGTTGTTAATGGATTGATTGCCTTTTGTGACCCTTTTTTTTAAATTACTGATGGCCTTAAAAAGAAGTAAATTGTAGAATACTAAAAGATTAATTCTCATTCTTGTTGACTTAATGGATAAAAATTGAAGTATCTATTTTCATTAAAAGGATTTTCCTATATATTTTTAGTTGATAGAAAACTTTAATTACGAAATTAAATTTTGTAATATAAAACTTTTTAGTTTTTTTTTTATTTATTTATCTATTTTTCTTCTTTTTAAGACTTAACATAAGTTAAGACAAAATAAGTCAACATAAGTTAAGACTCAACCTAACGTATGTAACTTTGGCAATATGCTTATACCATTGAATTTAAGCAATTAAAAAAAGCTATTCTGATCTTCATAGTAACAGATAGTACAAAACTGTTCAAAACTAGGAGAATTATTGGATTTTTTTCGAATATCTAAAACGCTTGAATAGTATATTGTAATGAGGTATATTGTAATGAAATTTGTTATGAACATAAAATGATGTAATACAAATTAAATAATCATTCAACAGCTGTAATACATACGCATGATCGTGCGTAACACTCACCGCAGTTGAGTGTTAAACATGATAAATTTTTTTCTCACTCAAAGAGTGATTAATGGACTAAAAAAATAATAAATGTTATGGTCATTCAAAAGCGCTATTTTTCGACCCTGAATGGTTATTGAAGAGGAATTGCCTGTTTTAAATCATTCTGCTCAGGAAATGTGACTGGCCTATCTATGCGTTCAAAAATACCACAAAATCACCTGTACCGGCGTTGTTGTCCCTTCAAAATCTCTATCTCTAAAAGGCTAACATAAGGTTCCAAGTCACAGTGCTTTTTCATAGGACTGGGAGGGATAGGTGGTCATCCAGTATGATGTCTTTTTTGCAATCAAGCCTTTGCTACCCTAATGGACAATTTCTTGGAGATTGCACAGCAGGCAATGAGTCTCTTGGTCACTGCTTATGAAAGCATGAACCCAATAAACAGCAGCATATATCAAACGTCTTTAGCTGTTGAATAACGTAACCATCCTTTTGAAATCCTTGTCAAATAAGTATAAAAATACTCTCATCAAGTGTCAAAAATTAATATTTAAGCGAAGGCAAACGAAAATACTATTTTAAATCCCGAGATTCACGATTGAGGACTGTGGTACTAAAATATTCAAAATGTACATACTTTATGTTCATAAACACTTGGAATAAATACTTTCTCCTTTTTAGCCATGACACGAAAACAATTTTTGTTACCACATGGTTGTTTTACCTTCACAAGACTGTTTTTATTGTCAATATATTAAAATAGAAAATCCCTCTTTTTGATGAGAACCATTTCATTTATGTCATTAATGAATAAACAGAGCATTCATAGTGTCTTAAGACAAGAAATGTATTCAAAAATAAGAGTTTCAATTAAAAATATGTATGCTCAGTACTATGCAATGATAATAACACAATATATTTTATGATTTCTAAATTATTTAAGGGAACTAATTTAGGTAATTTTTCATAAAATGTTTACTTAAAACTCTCAAAACTTTTATGTTTATATTTAAAAATCGCACATATGTTTAAAATGTGTGGGGAAGTTTGATCAACGATTTGACATTGATAGATTCATATTAAATCTCGCGCTTACCAGAGACTGCTAAAGATCCGTCACGGGAAACTGCAATGCATGTGACTGGTTCTTGGTGTTTCTCTTCCTTCCTAGATCGGGATTTTGTTGAAAACATCTCTGTTCTTTTACAAAAGAAATTCCATACGACAATCTTATTTCCACCACAAGTTATTAAAAATCTGTCATTATCCTGAGCCTGCAAAATTAAAAATTTTTGCATGAATCTTTTAAAAAGTTGCTTACTTTACTCATATTTTAAAATTCTTTTATTATCTTCAAGGTGAAAAAGCATAAAAATGCATCATTTATTGTTACAAATATTATAAATATTTTCTTCCGATCAGTGTAGCTATATTTTTGATATTTTCAAAAGTTTAAAAATTTAAATTTGATAATTTTGAATTAAATATTCGAGATAATTGACTTATCATATCTAATGATCATAATGATATATCCACAAACAAGAGGTGGAATTAAATTAATTGAACCACCTGCAAGTAGGAAAATTCAATTAATGTTTACATGTTAATAGAGTTACATGTTGAATTGATAGCAATTTTTAATTATATAAATGGAATTTTTCCGTCCGACTAACTAGTGCGCTCAAATATCACAAGGTATCTCAGTACAAGACAATTTTTTATCGTCTATTCTGTTTTGTTATAGATATATTATCGCGATATTATCGTTAAAAAAACTAATCATCAATTTGAAATCCGTCCACTATCCGACGAATTAAAGTTTTTAAATTTTATTTAGAGTTCTGTTCAGCCAAAACTACAAGTTTCAACAGTTTCTTAATCACTATAAGTGTAACTTATATCTACCTTTTAACGTAAAATAAACAAATGAAATCTGTATATCATACTGACTTTCTGGGATGCTCCTATTGTGTTTGACAAAATACGAATTACAAATAATATTTTCTGATTGATACAAATAAATTTTACCGCCAAAAAAAGATTGGACTACTTTTTGATATAAACTAGATTTAAAAAAATATTTTAGCTCAAATTTCTTTAAATTTTTATTTTTGTTATTTAGAGTTTTATTCAACTTTTAAGTGATATGTTTCGCGAACACTTAACAGTCCTGCAGTTGCTTGATAACTTAAGAAATAGTAACATGCGTTTTATCACTCGCAATTTATCATATATCCAGCCTTTCTATGACGAAGATTTGTTTCATTAATCTTTAGTTGTCTCATAGTTCTTCTATAGTGTTAATATTATTCAAAAAATTTCTATAGTGTTAATATTAAAATTATTTTCCTGATTACTAAATGTTTAAATGTTAAACGTATGCATGAAAAAAAGTTTTTTTTCCCCTTTTTTCTTCCTTTGCTATGTTATTTTATATTTTATGTTAATGAAATTGTGTAATAACGATCTACTTCTTAAGAAACATTTCACTAAAACATTCAATTTTGGAAAGAATACATTAACTACAGTGTTTATATTATCAACACTGAAATAATTTAACTTTTTGGTGTTTCCATAGAGCGAGAAACATAGTTGATATTATGATACTTTTGTAGCTTTGACCATAATTTTTTCTTAGTGTTTCAAATAAATATATCTTGGTTGATTTATGTATTTTATTTGAATAATAATAACTGTAAAAAGAACATTGTAATCCGTAGGCAAACTACAGAAAGCTAATTAATGCATGTTACTTCCGAATAATGAAAACATATTGTTGTCTTACCTCCATACAAAATGTTTCACGATAAGGAAAAAAAAATCAAATGAATCATACTGCCTTTGTTACAAATGAGCTTATTTTACATTTCTAATGCATATAAGAATATTCTTGCGGAAGTAATCCCGAATTGTAATCTAAATACAAAAACAGTCAGTAATCAATTTCGAAGTCATGTTCCCGCGGCTTTTTACTGTGAACAAATATGGTACGACAGCGAATAAATCTTTACATTGAGTCAAAAGTATTGACTAAATTCCCAGTTAAAAAGAAGATTATGTAGAATAGGCAGGGAGAGTCAGGCGTGCTTATTTGTATTTTTAAGTATATGAGCACGGAATTCGTAGAATATTTTAAGTAAATCTTGACTATCTACTCGCTAATGAGAGAACCTTGAAATGAAAATATAAATTGTTTAATTAAAAGATATGATAATTAATTTGATTTGAATTAGATAAAAATATCATCCTACAGAAAAATGAAGATGTCGTGATTGTATTAGCATTATTATGCAAAACTCTTGTTTATTTAAATATTTATTTACATTTCTTTTTTAATTATTTAGCTTCCAATGACTAAAACTTAATTTTTTTTAAATTTTAATAAATCTGACATCTGAAAATGTTGTTACTTGAGTAATTAATTATAAAAAAAATCCAGTAGAGTCAATATTAGGATAAAAAATAAATACAAAATGAACTATCCTTCCTTTAGCAGGGAAATGAAATAATATTATTTAATTTTTAAATTTCAATACATAAAATAAATTGATTTCTTACTTGTATGCTGGTCACCGGATCACTATGCCCACTGAGTGTTTGAAGCAACTTAGCAGAATGAATATCAAAGAGGTGAACTTTACCATCCTTGCAGCCAACTACACATCTGCAATTATCTCTCGCAAAACATAATGATGTCACAGCTGCGGCATGTCCATACAGGCAATGCACGTCAGAACCTGTCGTCAAAGATCTCACATGCACTGATTGGTCAGTGCAAGCTAGCAACAAAAATGTCGAGTCCCAAGATATGTCCATGTGAGTTATTGGAGCTGTAAGGTGGATTGTGTTCAATAGAGAAAAGTCTTCCAGACTCCAGATACATACGCATCGATCTGTCGAAGCTGAAAATATATAAATAAATAAAAAACCTACATTCTATCGAATTTTCACAAACTAGTTTTACCTCATTTTATTTTATTTTATAACTGTCGTTGAACAGTCAACCCGATTTTGAGTTCACTACTGTCAATGTTCAACTTCATAGACTTGTATCCAATCCAGAAGACCAGGGAACTTTTGTATCAATTATAGGGAGACATTTTACTTCATGGAGGACTTTTTGATGGAAATATCCCTCATTTGTTTTACATAGAGAGGAAAACAATGAAAATCTTCCACTGTTAGCTAGATGGCAAGGGGATTCTAACCCATGATCCGTCTATCACTGAGGATATCTTATGTCTGCCCTGTTGTCGGTGCGAGCCGGGTGCGGAAGTATTACAAAATCTAGATAGCGCCTTAATATGGGGATACTTGAATGTACAGAACATGTAAATAGCTTTCCTTAGCTACATTAAATAAGTAAAAAAAAGTGCAAAGTTAAAGTAGAACTATTTCTGACACGAGAGCTACATAAAAAATATGATATTAAGTGTGTTTAACTATTGCTACAGGGTATATAGAATACAGACTTAAATAGTTACACATGGTTTTTAGTTAATGGTAAGAAACAAGAGCTAAAAGTGCTAGAAATATTAATTTTGAAAAATAAACGAGAAGAATACGAATAAGGTGTTTGAACTGGTGCTCTATAGAAAAAAAATACGGACTAAGATAAACCTTTATAGATTCACCATTTGAAATATTTTTTGATGCTACAGTACACTCTCGATTATCCGTGCTCGGATTATTCGGTTTGCGGATTATCCGTGCTCATTCCGGAGTATCACAAAAAATTTAAAGCGAAAAATTTCAAGATTAAAAAAATTTGATTCATGAAGTCATAACACTACCAAATTTTTGGAAGCAATATTCGTTATTGGATTGCAGTAAATGAAATATCAGCAGCATGGTCAAAGGTAAAATCTTCTACGTTATCACGATCGTGGAGAAAGATCATACCTCTTGTTGAACAATCTTCTTCAGATATTCAAGAAGAATATGATAACAGTATTCTCGAACAAGCAAAAGAAATTCGAAATTCTTGATGAAGAAAATTTAGAAGATTGGTTTCAAAGTGTGAGCCTGGCTTCCAGTATTTGACGGATGAAGACATCGTTATGTTATTAAATCAAATAATGATGATAGTAACTGATGCAGAAGATGTAGTAAATGAGGGGGGAAATATGATTTCTGTTGCACTACGATCTGTGGAAACTTTATTAGATTATATGGGAGGATTTGATTACGGTGACATTACTAGGGTTCGTAAAAATATGTGTCCATATATGGCACATTACACATTTTTTTAAACAGCAAACGTTGAAAGGAAAATTCCTAGTTTGCTATACAGCATGCAAATGTCAGTAATTTTAATACTTTTTGTACTGTTATTAATTATTTCTTTAATAAAAAAGGAATTTTTCGGATTATCCGTGCTTTTCGATTATCCGTGCGACCTGTCCCGGTGATTAACCCGGATAATCGGGAGTGCACTGTATATAGTTTTTAATGAAATTATACGTTTATTTATTTAGTACACGTTTACATATTAAACTAAATTATGTGTTTTTAATTACTATATTTTAATATTAATGATTTTAATTTCTTTTTAATATTATTATTTTTAAAAGAAATTATTTTTTTCACCTGATGCGAAAATGTCATCCCCAGAATTTACAGCTACGGTACTAATTACACCTCTGTGATTTTCTAACTTATGGACTACTTGACTGCTATCTAGTCGACTGATTATAACTACTCCTGAATCAGATCCACTTATTATAAGCTCTTCAGAGTGGGTGGTTGTCAAACACTGAACACCAGAACTGTGATGGCTGGAAAAAAAATAGAAAAATTAATGGACCCATTTTTATGACAACGCAACAGTTTTCTTACTGTTTTAAATAACTTGTTGATCACTTACTTTAGTTTATGAATAAAAGAGCCTTTTTCCACATCCCAAACAATAATTTCTGAGTCTTTGGATCCACTAATGAGAAATCTTCCAGATAGTGTTAAATATAAGCATGTGATTCTTTCCTTGTGTTCTAAAAAGAGAAAACTAACAAATAAGTTATCAGAAGAAAAAAAATTCGGAAAGCACTTTATGAATGAATCATGAAAAATGTACTCTTCGAGAAATCACCGGTGTTGAGAATACTGAGCAATTTTAAAACTTTTTATTAGATTTACCAAACTAAATTGCAAATCGTTAATCATTACCGATCAACGAGATAAATTCTCATGAATTTATCACTTTTATCTGCGCTTTTGGTTATTATTAATAAACATTGGTTATTGTTAGAGATAACTGATTAATTGTATTGATTACCACATAACATATGTACTAATTAATATAAAATAAATAATAATATACCATATTTCAGAATCAAATTACGGTATTAAGTACCAACATTTTGTGTGCAACATCCGTAAAATCTAATTTACGGTAAAATTCATTTTTAGCAAGTTACATCCCGTAATTTTTATTAAATTAGAGTGATTCACGGATTTTACTTTGATTATTACTGTAAAAATCAAGGTTTATCAGATTGTTAATTCCGTAACATGTTCAGGTAAAAATGGATCTTAAGTTATAAATTCCGTCCCCCTCAGTACCGGTACTTCTAACCGTGATCTGATCCGGAATTTCTTATAATGTGAAACACTTTTTGATTGAAGTATCGAAATTGCTGTCTTAGAAAGTCATCAGTGTTGAGAATACTGCGCTGTAAGAAATTCCGGATCAAGTTACGGAATTGGGTATCTGCAATTTAGGGTGCAGCATCCGTAAAATGTATTCTACCGTGAAATACCGTGACGTAATTTTAATAATTTTTATTCAATTAGATGTATTCAGAGGTCTTGTAGTAATTATTACTGTAAATATTAGGGTTCATCAGTTTTTTTGTTCCCGTAGCATGTTCCGGTAAAAATCGATTTCACTATAAAAAAGTACCGTAACCCTGAGTGCCGATACTTTTTACAGCAATTTTGATCCGGAATTTTTTACAGCGTTGGCGGTTTTATAAATTTTTATTAGATTTAGAAATAAAATTGGCCCTCTTTGATTATAATTGGTCAATGGGATATATTCTCATAAATGTATCACTTTAAACAACATATTTGGCTATTGTTAATACACATATAGGTAATAATTAGCAATAACAAATAAATAATATTTAACCGTTGTTTTAACAATTACTATACGATATACTATAACCATAAAACTAATAACCATTAAATATATATATTTTTTAACTTTAAAACTGTTGTTGAACAGTCGATCCCAATTTCAATTTACGTTTACCAATATTCATCTCCATAGCCTTGTAACTTTTAACCCAATCAGAGAGACAAGGGAACTCCTGGATCAAGTAACCCCAGAGGTTTTGATTAATTATGGGAATTCAGAAGACTTCGTGACCACGACAAATTTAACATTCACCAGTCATACACGGGGATATTTGGCCGGCTGGATTCAAACTTCTGTTCTCACGAACGCGAGTCCAACTCCCTACCAGCCAGGCTATCCCGAAACTTAATATACATAATATAATGAACCATGCTTACCTGAGAAAACACGAACTAAATTTCTTGACGGTAGATGATACATTTCTATATTGGTTTCTTGTGATACGCATAAGGCATGTTGACTGTCAGGCGTACTGACCATGTTGTTAAGAGGGTGAAGGCAGGTCATCATGGTCACTTGGGGAGGCAGAGTAAGGTTAAGCCAACTATTCTGAGGCACAAGGACAGGAACGATATTGTTATTACACCATTCTCTTGCACTACTTACTAGCATGTCCATTGTCTTAGTTGTACCATCTATAAAAAGAATCAATATTATTTTGTACTTACTGAAGAATTACATCTTTATGTTCTCAAAACTAAAAATTGATTTTTTGACGTTTGAGCAATATTTGACTTGCATTTCGTTAGTTTCCACAATCATATAACATCAGAACAAACTCAGAACAAAATAGTCTCGTAATCACGTGAGTAATACTAAACGTGAAGCCTCAAATATTTTATGACTTTGTTTTCTTCACTCATGTGTCATATCATTTTTATATCATTTGAGAATTATTCACACGGTATTATAGGATGATGCAGGGGTTAGTGCACTCTCTTGGCAAGCAGGTTTCTTGTGTTTAGTTTCTATAAAATATTAAATACTTATTTATGAATAATTCTTTTACTTATGCTGTGGCAGTAAGCTCCGCTTTCTACTGGCTTCGTTAACCAATCCCTACGATTGAGATGCATTTATTTTTGTTTCGAATGGCAACTAAAGCAAACTAAAAATAACAAACAAACTGATTAAATCAAAATTAACAATTTTTCACTTAAAAAAAATTCCGAAAATTTTCCCTGCACTTACGCAAATCTGATTTGGAGATAAAGTTTCCAGTTTTATTCGGATAAAATGTAAATTGAAAGTAAGTCCCTTAAGCTACAAACTTGTATTTTCAATTCATACTTAATATTCGATTTCTAAAAAATACTAGTTAAATGTTTTTCACTAAAGTAATTAGTTAGCAATATAGATATTTTGCATAGAATTATGGTTAACTCTAAAGATAACGTTATTTGAGCCCTGCACGGCATGCGTGAGAAAAATCCAGCAAATAATAAATAATATTAAATAAAAATATGTTAAGGTTAACGTAAGACAAACGCAATCAAAAGCACTCTATTGAGAAAAAATAATTCCAATTATTTATTTACAATTAAAAACAGTTATTTTGTATTCAGTATTTTAAATGAAGATATTGAATAGATATAATTCGTGTATATGTATAGATTCTTATAAACGAACACTTTCATTTCGTAAGTTATTTTTAGTATAAATTTGCTCATGATTAGTAATTAAACCCGAACAGTTGTCAATATTAGGAAACTTCTTAAACCTATATGATTAAAAAAGGGATCAAATCTACTCCAATGTATTGCTTTAAAGAAGTAATTAAGTTAATTGTTCCACTATATTTACACGGGCGTTTCTATTCTTAAGGAAACGTGCTTCACTTTGATACGTAATTCCCAATTGATCCCTGACACGTTCAAATTAAGATCATTAGCTTAAAACAAGCTTTCTGAATAAGCTGAATAGAAAATTGGTGCTTCGAGCTGATATGCATGAAGCTTATTACTTTAAAAAAAAAATCATTGCGACTTTTTCATTCAACATTATGCTGTGAAAAAACTTTTATACCTAAAAATAGTTCGTTTCATTAAGTTCTCGAATGCTGTACATGACTATTAAAGTTACACAAATTGATTAAAAGAAACAGGGTAAGTGTAAAATAATTTTTTAAACATATGAAATACTGGGAGTTCGAGGATAAAAATATGCAATAGTATAATAATGGTCTCTAACAAAAATATTGTTCAAATGATTACCTATTCACGTGATTACACTGACAGTATTTCAAAATGTTCAAATAAGAACACCTATTTTTTCTATACAAACTTCACAGCCATAATAAAAATAAAACGCTAAATTTGAAAGAAATTTTCAGCACAAATTACGGTAAAATCAGACAGTGGTGAAACTAGAAAGATGTAGCACATCTGTAGAAAGCACGTTGTAGCATGTGTACTGCAAAAAAATTCCGGATTAAATTACAGTATAAAGTACCGGTACTCACGGTGCTTGTACTTTGAAATGTAAAATTCATTTCAATCGGAACATGTTATGGAGCAAGAAATCTGACATACAATAATTTTTACAATAAAAAGTACCGTAGAATCACTGAATCACTCGAATTAAATAAATATTTCTGTAAAAACTACTACATAATATTTTAAGGTAAAAATGAATTTTACGCTGAAATGGATTTTATGATAAAATGAATTTTACGGATGATGTATCCAAAGTTCAGGTACTTTGTGCCGTAATTTGAGTTGGAATTTTTTTACAGGGTGTGTTTTCTTTTTATTTCCTTTCATCTTCAGTTCGTGTTCAATAGACCTGAATTTCTGTACAGTTTTTCTGTAATAAAATTTTTTTTTCTTCACCTCCGCCTAATGCCATTGTTTTCCATTGCTATAGGAACCAATTTTTAGCAAAAAAGCAAAGGCTTCCATATGAAAACTTATATTGTAAAGATGAGAACTGGAAAATTGTTTTAAACACTGTTCTAAAGCGCATAACTTATAATACCTTTATACGGAATTTATTCCGTTCTCTTGAGAGCATTTTCTGCAAGGGGATCATAGGCTGGCAATATTATTTTACAATCACCTTGCATAGTAATTAAACCGATCTTACTTAGTAAGGGTTTCAGCCAGTTGAGAATTTCCGTTGCTAACTGTAATGGATCTTGGCTGAGAACGTCAACAGACTGTTTTGTCATACTGTACAATAATTCTATCTCCCAATCAAGCATCTAAAAACAAAAACAAATGTATGTATTTAGCTTAGGCTGTATGAAATGGCTATAAAACTGTATGAAGTATTAGAAGTTAAAATGATCTTCAATATATCCAATTTATAAATTATCATTGATTAAATTTTTATTTTATAAATCAAAAGTTATTAGTACAATAAAAATTGCTTGTGAATCTATGAAGAATTTAAAAAATCTTACTATACTATTCAAATTATTATAAGAATAAAAACTTGAATCATAAAATAGGCATTTAACAATTTGAGAAAAAAAAACACGCATAAAGATACCAATTTGCATTTTTAATGAGTTTTATTGCAAGCTTTTCAAGTTTCTACAATTGATAAAAAACTATTAATAACCAAGCATGAAAACAAAATATAATTATATGATGTTCATAATAATAATATCTTATTTTTATAAAAATAATAACAATATTAATAACCAAGCATGAAAGCAAAATATGTATAAGATGTTCATAATAATAATATCTTATTTTTATAAATATAATCTCACTACATTGCTTTGCGTATAAAAACTATTTATTTTTCAAAAAATAGATTTAAAAACAAATCTCTTTTCATAAAAATATCGTATGCAACGATAAAACGATAAGTATCAATAAAACTTGAGTCATCAGTAAGTAAATTTGAATAAGCAACTTCTGATAATATTATGACGGATAAAAAATAATCAAAAATATTGGATATGATATCGTTTAACTTGGAAATTTGATCCTATATATCAACACTTTGATGAAAAAAAAGTCTCCACATAACTACTCCACATTAGTTTATCAATTCAATTATGTACAGTTTTTGCACTTTATCTACTATACACTATCAGAGCAAAATTTTTCCTGACATCCAGCAGTAGGGACTCAGTGAGTCTAAATCCCTGGATACTGGTAATCCCGGGCTTTAAGAGAGTCGAGTCATATATTATAAAGTTAAAACGACGAATAGAGCCATTTTGGTTCTTCTCGTTTTTTGTTAATCTGTAATTCAAAAAATAACTTACTGAAAGTGCTGAATATTTTTCACTTTTCATTATTTGATCCAATATTTTATTTAATCATTCATGTGTTAGCCTTACAGAAACGTGACCCTATACCTAGAATGAAGGGAGGGGTAAGAGTGACTCCTTATTTATTTTGGTAGTTATCCCTTTGGTAAGTATAGGCTAGCCCAGTTTTATTAAAAAGCAGAAGTATTTCAACACATGTATAATTATTATTTATTGAGAAAAAGAATTTCAATTAGCTAAGAAATTAATATGTAAGTAAAACTGAAAAGTCAACGTTCCGTTCAATCACATATTTCCGTTAATCAAATCGACTAAAATACGACATAATAGACCAGCTTTTGAGATATTGTCATAGGAATTGAATTTCAGGCATCCCTCAGAACTGAAGCATGTTCTAGCAATTAGGATAGTTGATTTTGTTGACTAAATAAACTGCATTTTAATTCGTTCCTAAAGTGCTATGTGGGATTCAAATCGAGGCTCTAAACAGGCCAGTCTAGTTTTTGAACACCCATTTCAGCAAAACATGTCAGCGTAAGTCTTGAGGAGTGATTGGAGCAACCCTACTGGAAGAGAAATGACACTTTACGGAAATACTGTCATAGAGTTAGGACAGCAACATTGTTCAGAATGCCCGCATACACCGAAGAGCCATTACATTATGACCACCCTGCTAATAACATGTAGGCCCACCTTTAGCCCTCAAAACTGCTAGCACCCGCCGTGGTATTGANAAGGTACTGATAGGTAGTCTGAGGTAACTGGTACCAAGCGCTCACCAACTGGTCCTGCAATTCTCTCACATTGCTAGGGGGTAGCGTGGCAGCATGAATTCGGTTTTCCAAGAAGGACCACAATTGCTGTATTGGATTAAGGTCAGGTGAATTTGGGGGCCAAGACTTGAAAGTCACTGGAATATTCCTCGAACCAATCCATGACGATTCGACCCTTATGACATGTATATTATCCTGTTGGTAAGCATCATCCCCCGCAGGAAAAACTGTTGCCATGAATGGGTGAACCTGGCCTGCAACTATGTTCAAGTAGCTTACAGACGTCAGGGATTGTTCTATGAGGATTATGGGTCCTAATATGCCCCATGAAAACATTGTTACTGGGCGAGAAACCATGAAAACCTGGGCGAGCCCATTGTTATAAATGGAGGGTGGTCATAATGTAATGGCTCTTCGGTGTATATCAGGTCTCATTGTTTCTAACCACAGGAGGAGAAATGGGTAATAAGGCAGACCATTAAAGTCATCCCCACCTTCCAATTCCTTTTAGACTAGTGCCTGGATACATTTGGCCAGACAGTGCACAATCGTTATTGATTTGGGTATTTCTTATATTAAAATAATTATTTTCAAAGCTCAAAAAGTGCTTTATAAATTTGAAAGAAGTGAAAAACGAAATCCAATTTTAAGAAATATTGCTAATTCTTGAATCTGATTCAATAATGATAAATTGAAGAGAACCAAGTTTGAATAAATAATCTAATTTTTTAGATGTTAATGTTTGTTCGATATATTTTTAGAATATTACCTGACAACGTACGATTTCCAATATACTTCTCGTGTAGCTTATCGATGCTCCTCGGGTGGCAGCAAGTAGAAAATCGAAATTGCAAACGGCGTCTTGTTTCAACTTTTTTTGATCACCTATAATCAGAAGAAAAAATACCTTGTTCTTTCATTTTTAGATTTGAATAAATTTCTTGATTTTTAAAAAGGCTTTAATGATTGATTTAACTAATAATTCTTATGATCACAGTTGTGGAGTGATTTAGTATGGTTTGTATCACAAATATATTTTCCAATTGTATGTCGGAAATAAATATTATACAAGCGTAACTATTAGGAGCTATACATTACCAATTATTTCTCGATTTGCTTTAAGCTAACTTTACAGCAACTTATTAAATGACTTCTGTATTACTAAAATTAACTGAAAACTTATTACAGAAACTTAGATGTAATGTATCATAGAAACTTACATATAACTTATTAAAAAACTTATATTTATTCATAATTACTAAAGAAAATAACTATTATAATATAATTCATGATTATTCAAACAAACAGTCATTATGTAATACACTAGTATTGAAGGAACTTTAATATAACATTGTAATTAATCATTAAGGATAAAATAATTTTCTTTTATAATATAAATCACTGTCATTGAAAAAATTTTAATTTAATTTATTATTATTGAAGAAAACCTTTAAGAATTATAATATAACTCACTGTTATTCTAAAAGGTAATTCAATATTAAAATATTATTTATATCCAAATTATATTATGTTATATCAAAATTCATAATATAAATATATATTATTTATATCATGTTATATCAAAAAATAAGATGCTGCTGTAATAAAATTCCTTATTCTTACAGAATAATATAGAAGAAGGTCTTGCAGAATATAATAATATAACTTTTTTTAAAAGTGTTTATGTCAAACTTGAAAATTTCAAATTATATAATTAGTTCTCGTAATGAAATATAAAAAAGTGTTTCATGTAGAAAATATAATAGAAAAAATGTGTTCATGCTAAATTCTCCGTTTGGAATTTTTTTTAAATAAAATAGATCATTTTATTTACCACAAGATGGAACATTTAACTCAGAACATACAAAGACAGTGGTAAAACACCACACTTAATTAAATATGTCATGAATAGAATTATTTTCATCTTAATTTAAACTTTTAGCAAATATTTCGAAAAAGGTTTAAATTTTTTTTTCCTAATCAATTAAAGTATTAAAGTATCAAGTATCACGATGGATTGATTATTTACAGTTTCGTATTCAACAAATTTCCGAAAACCATTTCCAGTTTGTATCACACAAATAATGCCAATAAAATTGACTTATATTGTTACATAAGTCGCTTCGCCTATTTCATTTTTTTTCGCAAAGATGGAAAGATGAAAATCGAAGCACCATCGAGGCATGTGGTTTTTTAGCTGAAAAATGGAGATAATTTAGGAATAATCTTATTGGCGCAAAACGTTAGCAAAATTTTGAATGAAAATTTCAAATATTCCATTTTCGCGAAGATGTGTAATATATTTTCAAATTTTTTTTAGCAATAATTTTTTGTACTGAGTTTAAAATAATAACGCTAAATGTATAATAAATTTTAAGTTAAAATACATTATTATAACTAATTTTCGTAGGATATATTTGACAGAAATTATAATTTATATTATTTATGTCATGAAATCATAGTGAATTACTTTAGATTTCTTATAATTTGCTAGGTTTATCAACGGGAAATAAATTCTCCCCTGTATTAGGAAATTTAAAAATTGTGTTATATTGCAAATTGTAAAAAAATATACCTTCCTATACAAAGCATGTGAAAGTTGTATAAAGTAGAAAACATTTAAATACGCAATAATGATACGAGATAAACTTTTGAAAATAATTAAATATTATGTCAGCATGTACTTTTATTTAGAATGCCACAATACCTATTCATACGCATAGGAAACTCGCATGCAATAAAAGATCATTATATTTATAAATAACTAATGAGAATCAAATATTTGACCAGATCACCACAAAAATAATGAGCTCTTTTCATTACCTTTCAAACAGAAACTAACGATTAAAAAATAATTATCTCTATCTTGTTGTTTTTAATTACCTATTTTGATGCTTAAGAGCAGTTTTAATTTCAAACTAATTGCAAAGATTTAAGAAAAGTAAAATAAGCACAGATTTCCCCTCCGAACTGTAATATAACTTTAAAAAATATTTCCTTTAGTTTGAATAATATTTTATTGATAATAATTAAAACTATTTGTGGGCTTTTAAGCAATCTTCATGATATTTTTTCCGATCGCAATTAGTTAATAAGTATTGTATGGAAGAAGCAATTAAATTTAACGGACATGAATTAATTTATTGCAAATGCAGATTTTTTTATTGCTTAATTCTTTGTTTTATATGTCTAATTGATATTGTAATGTTTTAATAAAAGATGTTTTTTTATTCATGCCATTTTATGAAACGTTGGAAAACGCAGCAATTGGCATTACAAATTTGTTTTTTAGCGTTGTTGTTGCTGTCGTAGGTCATTAAAGCAAGGTGGTTCGTTTGTTCTTGCTTTCCAGTCGCGCTATCTATGGTCAAGAATTTGACTTCTGTCACATCCATACGTCACATCCGGTTACAAAGAGGACCCATTCATACATCCATTCATTCATTAGCAAGCCGTAATTTTGATCTGAACCAGAGAACGATCTCCAATTCTGTATCCCCAGAGATATAATACTTTATAGCGTTTCACACCAAAAAATAAAATTTATCACAGAAAAATTCAAATTGTTCCTTCAGGATTATTAACCAAATTTTTATTGATATATATTTGTCATCAGGAATTCTGGAATTATCTGAAATTTTATTTTCTTAAAGGTTAACGAAAATCATTATCTTGACAAAATCTTGGTTGACATAAATCAGAATTTGGAAAAATCGAGTTCAATATAAATTATAATCCTACCAACCTTGCTTGGCAAAATAAAACGATCCCTTCCCGAAGAATTATATTATCATAATCAAAGTGTCAAAAATACAGTGTTAAGCAAAAGACATGATAGTATTTCTTCTAGCCAGAATTTTAAAGTTTTATTTCTTATGGAACATATAAAATTCAAATTTGTAAATAGTTTATGTAATTAATAGACGTAAAATAACTTAAATATTTTCCTTTTTTCTTTAATTGAAATCATCAACAACAATACACTTTTTCAAAAAATTATTTTTATAACTTATTTTCTACATAAGTAAAATATGTTTTTTTTTAAATTTATTTTGGTGTCATCATTTTTGGTGTGAAATGCTATAAAGTATTATACCTCTGAGGCACTGAAATGAAGATTGATCGGTCTCTGGTTCAGGTCAAAATTACGATCTGTGGATGAATGAATGGATGTACCCTCTATAACAAAAAAATCGACGCCCCAAGAAAGAAATGTCCGAATAAAACGAAAATTGGTGGATAGGAAGGCAATGTACAGAATAGTGAATGATTAAAATTTCAGAACAATTGAATAATTTATTGCAGAGTTAAAGCAACAAGTTCAATAAGGTGTTGACCCGTCTCTAGCCTGGATACAAGCTGCCAGCCAGCGTGGCATAGCCCGATAAAGCTCCCGGATGGTCTCTTGCGGTATTTCCTGCCAAATTCGATGCAATTGTCGAACGAGGTCATCAACATTCCGTGCCAGATGCAATCGCCTTCCCATCATATCCCAGATATGCTCGATGGGAGAAGGATATGGTGATCTGGCAGGCCAAGGAAGAGTTTGACAAGCTTGCAGACAGTTTCTAGCAACAGGTGCCGTATGTGGTCTGGCATTGTCCTGCCGAAAAACCAGCCCAGGGCGCTGCAAAAGAAACGGTAGCAAAACAGGTCTTAGGATGACGTCGACGTACCGCTGTGCAGTAAGTGTACCTCTAATGATAACCGAAGGGGTCCGGCTGTCAAAGGAAATTGACACCCCAGACCATAATGCCTTGTTGAGGGCCGGTGTGGCGTGCAATAGTGAAGGCAGGATCCGCCCTCTGCCCTGTGTGTCTCCAAACATGTCTTCGATGATCGTCAGGACACAGTTCGAAGCGGGATTCGTCGCTAAAATTCGACGTCTCCAGTCGGCATCATTCCAGCCTGATCGAGCGTCTATTTTGCTCGTCTTAGTTCGTCGATTTTTTTTGTTATAGAATGTATAAATGGGTCCGCCCTATATACGTGTGCAACGTATGGGCATGGACGAAGTAGCATGTCAAAAAAAATTATGATTCATCATTAGTGTTCTCAGCAGTTTTTATTGAAAAAAGTGTTTCTCAGAAAAAAAAAAGAATAAGTACTATATTATAATTCAGTTGAGTTTAAAGTAAGTTTTTGAAAATATTCTGGTTAAAATTTTTACTAATACAGTTTCTTTCTTTTCAACTAACCATTTCTCTTTATGTATGTGAATATTTTTTTAACAATATGTGACTAAATCAGATGATTAAATCAGTCATATCTTAAACTAAGAAAAAAAAACATTACCATTTCAGTGCAAAATCAATATTAAATATAGGAATGATAAAGTGCTCTTAAAATGAATGGAGGAAGGTAGGAAAGGAAATGACATGACAACAAACCACTGAATCATTCGACTGACCACTGAGCATGAGATGATACCAAAGCTCGTCTATCTCTCTCAACATATCTGACCAGTCATCCCTTCTCTTTGACTTGGATTCATCCATCGGTGAACCCTTCAATGGAAAACATCAACCATTTAATTAAAACACAACCCTCATACCAGTATTATACAATTTTATACCAAATTTCATTAGATTCATAGCTTAAAACTAGTGTCCTCAAACTGCCAAAAGCAGCCAACCGGCATCCCTAGATAAGCCAACTGAAGTATTCCCCATGTTTTAGGTATCTGGTTCGTCATATTTTAGCTTGATAACATTTCAAAATTTACTCAGGGAGTGTAATTTTATAAAATAATTAACAGAAGAATTAAAATAACTGATATACGTAACAGAATTGAAAATTGTAACTGTAATGCATGATAAAAAATTTTACATACTTTTTTTTCAACATAGCATGCAAAATATAATGGAAACATAATATAAGAAAATACGCATCAATAACCAGTAAATTTTAGATACTGAGCAGTAATATCATTTATAAAACTGTTAACTTAAATTAGTTGAAGGATTTACACTATTTATCAACCAAGCTGCCTTGTCTTTTTAATAGAGTTCTCTCTCCAAATTTTAAAATTTCGAAAATGTAATTATAATTAGAAAGGGTGTGCAAATCAAAGTAAACTTAATAAAAGTTTTAGATATTAGACTTTTCCGTGGCTTTTGAAAGCTTTACGTCATTCCATAATTGAAATTAAAATCCATATTAATTACGGAAAACCATGATAATTGGTATCCTTCGGAAAAGGCAAGCTCTGTCACCAATAGTTGGCATGACAGTACGCTGCACCATATCAACGTTTATTGTTTAAATTTTCTACAGCCATTTCATAAAGGTTAAAAAATAAAACTAAGTAGTTAATTCTTAACTGAGTTTTTATTTCCATAAAAATAAGAGATTATTCTAAAAAAAAACTTAGCGACTAAAAGTTCACCACTGCTTAAATTATTACTTAAAGTAACCCGAAAAATGAATAATAACTAACCGTTGTTAATAGATAAAGAAATATTTGAGTTTATAGTAAGGGAGAGTGGAGTCAATTGTAACAGGGTATGATTGTAACTAGGACTCGGCGATATTGGAAATTATATATCGTGATGCATCGTCAGTTTTGCATCGCGATATAGCGATGTATCGCGATATAGTATTTTTGAATTTCATTTACTTGTAAGGCACAGAAAGTCAGATTTCTATCAAAACTTCATACTCAGATTGATTTAAATCAATTTATAAATTTGAAGATATAAATGTTTTGCTTAAGAAAGATATTAAATAAATTGACTACAATGTACAAATTTTACTTAAAATATTTATTGAAATGTTTGTTTAGAAATTCATAATACGTGTAAAACAAAGTGTTAAAAACTTTTTTAAAGCGTTTTTTACAAATTAATATTTTCTTGTACTATTAAGCATAAATAATTACATAATTATTAAGTTCGATCCTAATGCTCAATTTCTAAATGAAACGTTAAAAATTATTTGTATGTTTTAAACAAAGTGCTAAAGCTAAATAAATTTTAGAAAAAAAACGCTTTTAAAACACTATTTTTTATTATTATCAATTCAGTTATTATAGTTTTATTATAGTTCATTTACGTCACACTAGAGCTGCACAATGGGCTATTGGCGACGGTCTGGGAAACATCCCTGAGGATGATCCGAAGACATGCCATCACAATTTTGAGCCTCTGCAGATGGGATTGCACTCCCGCTTCAGTAGCTCGACGACCTGCACGCGAAGTCGAGCACTTTACGGTAGAACAGTTTAACGAAGATCAATACTGCACACCCTCGGTCCCTACGCAGACTGATCCAAGTGGTCACTGACAGCAGCCAGTGATGCTTGACTTCGGTGATCTGAAGGGAACCGTGTCTTAACGATCAGTCCACTGCGGGACCTTATCATTCCAGATAAATAATTAAATTAAATTAAATAATGACCGAATTATGAACGAAAAACAAAGGAAGATTTAATTTCTTAAAAATAAAAAAATTGTGATATTCGATAATATATTTAGCTAATTAACAAATAATATGAAAAGAATATTTTTTAAAAAAAATTATTATACTCTCTAATAAAACGAAGTGCTAAATGATTTAAAAAAATGAATAAAATACGCAAACCTTTCAAATTTTTTTGTATAAACAAAGTTGATTGACTTATGTCCAAATCCAAATGACAAAAATAAATTTTGTTTTAACTTTATTTCTAAAAATAAAAACAACAAGATTTATAAATTTAAAATCAGTAATAAAAACTCATTAAATTATTAGAAGTTTCATCCAAAAAGTTTTTAATAAATTAAAAGAAAGTAAAAAAATAACCTAACAAATTCAATTCTTTATGGGCGCCTAAATTAGATTGCCGATAATTTTCACATTTAAAAATAAAAAGAAGTTTTTTTAAAAAAAAACTTATCTAATTAATGAAGAAACACTTCTTTATATATTCTTTTCAATAATAGATTGCCTTCAGAACAAGGTAACATCGGCGATCACGAAGTTAGTCCCACTGAAAATAATCTACAAAAAAAGTCTCGACAAAGAAAAAAAAAAGCTAAGAGGTGCGAAAAGAAACATGCGATATAACGATATGAGTTCTCAAAACTCTGATCCTACAGCTCACCAATTAAGGCCATTTCAACATAACGAAACGAACATCATCTTCCACAGCGCGAGTCGACATCTGAACGTAAGAGAAGAGTCTTATATCGCTATATCGTTATCTTATATCCTTACTTGTCTTATATCGCTATATCGTTTTGCACTCGTTGTCTTTACTCGACGGCTTAAATCAGATTTCGGGTGCATCGCCTTGAATGAAAGTCGCTGTATCGTCTTGCCGATATATGCGTTAAATAATAAATTGACTACAATGTA